TTTTTTTTTTTTTTTTTTTACGAGAATCAGATTTTCATTGCTTCATTCAATTGCTCTCCTCTGCCATTTTTTACAGCCCTTATCGTTCCCTTGGAATATAGCCTTGAGACAGCTCATCCGTGTCCTTCACTGTGTTATCTCTTCTAACTTTTATTAAAACTTCAGCTCTCATCTGAAGATAGCTAATTAAATCCATGACAGATTATACACGCGTTTAAAAACTGCACCGAACTACTTCTTCGAAGGAGAACAGGGTTTATTTTCTTTCCCCGTAGTTAAAACTAAGGGTACATAAGGAGGTTTCATTCATTTACAAAGACACGATGCTTATCTTTACCTAGGATATAGGTAGGTTTATATTAAAGTTCCTTTGTTGCGTGACAAGACTCGGTGCAATTTCTCACAGTAATTATTTCTTGTTGCTGGGAAGATCTCTCAGCCTTATACTTCTGCAATACATACACTGACACACATGTGGATGCACATTTACACCCTGGAAAAGCATCGCTCTCAGATATAAATGCAAGTACTGCACGTTTGCTTTCGTAAAATGTTGATAGGCCTCCACTGTAACAGTACTATCTGACAGCATCGCAGAAAGTACAGTTTTCTTATTCTCTGCCCATAATGAGGAATCCTGTAAATTATGTAAAAATCACACCGCGCACTATTTTTGTACCGAAATTAAAAGTATACAAATTCTATCAAGGACTCGTCTTATTGTACTTCCACCCACCATGGCAAATTACCACTGGCTGGACTCGAATGCAAATGGTTTGGTTACCATAAATAAATATTTGCAGTGATGGATATAGTGCTGTGCAGCAAGCACGATGCAGCTCCTCCGCTCTCTGCTTTCTGCCAGTATCCAGAGCACAGACCCGCGCACGGAACCCTCGGGTGCTGCTGAAAACCATGATGCGCACCGAAAAAACCCGAGCATCTTTCACAACAGTTCAAAAGACAGAAAATATGCTCCTGGAGAAACACCCTGCCCTCTAGAAAATACGATAAATAACCCACCTGAGCCTCTCTGTGATCCCTTCCTTCTCTTTAAGGCCTTTTGTAAGATATCCTTCATGGTGACCTTCATACTGTCCACCTGAATAAGTGAGAATCCATGAGCAGCATTTCTGCAAGACAGATGCACATGCAGGTTTACAAAATAATCATCATCAGGCAGCTCACCGCAATTTCATTAGTTTCAAGCAAAAGACTTGTTAGGCACAACAAGGCACCAGCTTGTGCTACGTAAGTAACTTAGAAGGAGAAACTGAGCAAACTCCCTCAGGAAGGCAGAGGCAGAGCTGGAGAAAACGGATCGAGATTCAAGGTGTGTAAGGATTTTCCTAATTTATCTTTATTTTTGATCAATTTGTGTTCATCGTTAAGAAAGAAAAATGAGCAAATGTACCTGGGGAGCTCCTCAGCCCCTCGTTATTAACTACCTGCTGGGCGTTTCCAGCACGCACAGGAGAAACAGCCCCCGATGCCATTCTCCCGCACGCCCCGACAAAGCAAACCGGTAAGGAGAGGTGGAGGAACAAAACTGAGAAATAACAGCAGCCTTCCACCTCTGTTAATCCCGTAATTTCAAACGCAACGTGCTCTCTCTGGACACCTTCTGGTGAACACCGTGGCACCAAATCTCACGGGAAGGTTGACAGCGGGGTGCTCGTCCCGGCCAGTGCCCGCAGGGTGGGAACCGCCACGGCCAACACGGGGATGGCTACGGAAGGGATCGCCGGCCACATACGGAAAGTCGCGTCTTGGGGGAAGCAGAGAAGATGACAGTGTAACAGAGGAGATAGTGGATTAATGTATCAGTAAATTTTGCCCTTAGACCCCACAGTCAGTCTCTGCTCGTGTCAGTAGATGTCACTGCAGACAGTTAGCACGGAGCGCGCGGCTGCTTGGCACCCACCGGGAGAGATTTGCACTGCATGGAAAAAACTGGTTTGCAAAGCTATTTAGACAGGAGGAGGAGCTCTGTATCTGGCAACCAGGAATTTTAATCAGGGAGCAGAGCTCTGTATGAATATCACAGCTGGAATATTTTAAAGAGCAAGCGGCAGTCAAAAGCAATCCGAGCAGCACGATGACACCAGTAAAAACAAGGCTGTATCACATCTCACTTGACGGCACAAAGGCTGGAATACAAGTTTGGGTTCTGATCGCTGCCGCCGCGGCATCCCCAGCCCCGCCGTGACACAGCCTAGATGAACGAGCGACACCTTCAAGCCCCCACCATACACGAACACGTACTGCTGGCCACGGCGCAGAGCCGGTGGCCAGCCGACTCCCGGCCTGGGCACGTGCCGGGCACCAGCCTGCGGCCCTGCAGCTTGCCCACGCTCTTCTGGCAGCTACCAGAACAGCAAGCATGTCCCCACGTCCCCAGCCCCAGTTAGGCTTTTCAGCTCAACATCATCTGCCAGGAGCGGCTGAAACGGGCTGAAGAGACGGTCAAGAAATCTGCAACGGGGGGTCATTTATGTGTTACCAAAAATAAAAATGCCTGCCACGCGGCAGTAACGACCCAGATGGGGCTGGTTTCAGAGCACGGGGCTGGTCTCAGAGCACCCCCCAGCTCAGACAGCCCCACCAGGCACCATGTAACCGCCTTTCCTTCTCTGCAGTTGTGAGTTAGTCTCATCTGAATTTCATTCTCAATTCCCTTTGTTCCTGGCAAAATGAAACTGCCTAAAAGCCCCAAATTTATGTTCTCTAGGCCATTTATTATTTATAACTCGATCTTACTCGTCTTCAAACCAAATATTCCCAACCTTTTCATGCCTCTACTTTCTCCCTCCCTCCTTCTGCCATGTGTTAACAGAACTGAGCCCGCTGCTCCACATGAGGGAGTGCCATCCATGTCTGCAGCCGGAGACTCCATCCTCAGAGCAGCCCCAGCATCCCGGGGTTTTGGCCGCGCCACACAGGGAGCAGAGGCCTTCCTAAACCCTTTACTGCCCAGCAAATTCCCCCTTAAGCTGCTATGGAGCCCTGCGACCTGCACAAGCACTACACAGCATCTTGCCTTTGCCCAGCAGCTTCCTGGCCCTTCACCTCTCGCTTCCAGTGTCATCCCAGCACTGTGCGAACTGCCCCGCTGGGCTGATCTTTGTGGATTTTTCAAAGCGAAAAGCCTCTCTCTATAAAATAAAACCCCCTATACAATTATACTGTAACGACAAAAATGAGGCGGCGCTTTATTTAAATGACGCGTCTGTCAGCGAGGCGCTACAAGAAAAGCCTTGCGCGCTGGACCCAACGTCAGAACCCATTCAGAAGACATCTGGTGCCTTCAGGTAACTCCTGTAATGCTCTGCAGCACAGAAAGGAGGTGTCCAGAGAGCTGCAACCACAATCCAGGAAAATAAATTGAAATACTGCAGAAATAACCCCAGCAAAGGTGAAGAAAATCTTCCAAAACCTTCTATGGCCAAACGACTGGAATCACTGGGTTTTCTTTTTCCCTTTCGTACCAAATGTTTTCCAAAATGTGTTTTCCCACAACCTAAGCAGGGCCTGCAGCCTGCGCCATGGCTCAGCCCCGCGTCCCGCCGGGCACGAAGCAGCCGATGGCAACCGACCAGGGCTGCCCCGGCTCGGGGCTGCTCACACCAACATGTATCCGGAACCTCGGGAAAAGGGGAGACTACTGTCTTTCGATTCCTGACACTTCAGCTGCTAAAGAGCACATGCTGCTGCTGATCCTGCTCGTGTTCCAGGCCATCCTGACTCGGTCGATTCTTTCTATCGAGCAGCTGGCCTGAGAACTGTCGGGCTGATTTTCCTGACACTCTATTACTAACCCGTGCCTGAGCCATGGCCATTCTTTGCCTCAGAAGCTGGATCTCATCCCAGAACAATCTTCAGAAGTTTATTTTACTGATCAAAGCAAAATAAAAAAAACCTCTGTGTTTTACTATATTTAGTGTGCTATCCAGTAAGCGAGACTTTGGCCAGAGCAGCGAAATGTAAAGCGCACCCTGCATTTGTAAACCTTTGGCTATTTGCTCTGGAACGGCTCCAGAGGGTCTGAAACGCCCGTCCCAGCGCAGACGCACGGCTCTCCCCTTCCCTTGCTCCGGCTCAGGAAGCGTGCAGCGCCGGGTTTCTCTAACAACATACCGCAGAACCTCCATAAGGACATGTTAGCACTTGTTAAACCCCAAAATCTGAGCTGAGGGTGGATTTATGCCCTGACCAGAGATTCTGCCATCATCCCGGGGTCAGGCCAGCGTGCGGAGCACGTTTCCTACACAGCAGAGGAGAAGCCCTGTGCCATCCTCAGCGTGCCGGAGCACTGCCGAACAGGCAAGGAGTCTTGGAGCCACCCTCCACACGGGATCGCCCAAGACACCATCAATCTGCCACAACCCGCCTCGATGTGCAACCGGCACAGTGAGGCACTTCTGGAAAAAATACACACCCCAGCTCACCTTGCCAGCTTTCCAGCTATGCTCCGCATTGATAACGTGCATCAACTGTCCTCACCCAACCTCATTCCAGCATATCCTTAATTACGAGTATCAATTAGATGGTTTAGCTTACCCTGCTAACGCGCGATACCTTTATTTTAAGTCAACGCGCTAGCAAGCAGGGCAGACAAGCAGATGCTAGTCAATCAATTAAAACTGCCGCTCACAGATTGGAAGCCAAAGAAATTCCTTAGCTTGTATTTTCTGTCATTTTGCAAAAACATACCTGGGTGACAAGGTTAAATCAAGCAAAGGAAATCCCTGGCACTTATCATCCACAGGCATTACTGAGAAATTGTGCAGTGGAGGAATAAAGGATTACCTTCTGTATTTTTTCATTACACTTTTCTTTTGTTACAGAATACATAAATCCATTGTGGCACGATGTAATATGTATCATCGTGCTACACCTGTGGACGTTTCATAACGGCTGCCATGTCTGTGCAGTCAGGAATGATAAGTGAACCACCCGTGAATGTTAATGATAGTGATCATTCTGCGGTAACTTGGCTTTCCATCTTCTTTTACAGCCTCGGCGCTGGAGCCAGGGTGGCAAGGTTCAGCGCTGGAAAAAGAAAACAAGGGGAGAGGCGAGAGCTTCGGCGGGCTGACGCCGGGGTGTTGCCGTGGGGGGGGATGCGGGAGCTCAGAGGCGGCGCGGAGACGGGCAGCGGCCGCTCCGTGGGCTCCGGCTGTGTCGCCAAATCAGAACCCCAGCACTTCAAGGACAAAAGGCTTCTGTTCCGAACGGGAAACAAACTTTTCCAAAAGCTGTCTTTCCAACCCGGACGCAGGGATTTTTTTTAGGTTACTTTTTTTGATTTACAGCACTTGGAGCGCGCTGCAGAAACCGGCTGGCATGGCTGAAAGTGTCTGCGAATGACTAAGAACCGTTTCCACTTGATCAGCACAAAGGGAAAGTTAAGACTAAGACTCCCAGCTGATGCAATGCACTTCAGCTAAGCGGGGTAATTTTAAAGATAAAGTGCACGGCGACGTGAACCGGAATAACTACGCCGTTTTATTCCGAGCCTCAGTGACCGTGCTTTTGTGCATCTCAGGTTCGCCTTGGGTAACTGCGCTCCTGAGCGTAATCTGCTACCTTTTGACACTCCTGTAAGCTATCATCAGACCTCTAAGAAGTCAGCTTCCCGCTCTGACCCTTTCCCGGGGCCCCACCCCTCCCTAGTCACTATTCCGGCAGCCCCCCTCCGTGACTCTGGCACCCACATTAACTTCCTTCAATTTGCATTTTACGAACGTTTGAAAATATCCTTTGTAGACTACCTACACCCGCGTGAGGAGCGGTAACAGGCCTTTTGGGGAGTGCTTCTGTAATCCAGGTAAAAAACACATTTCAAAGCCTTGAATGGTATTTGTAAACGTACAGTGAAAGCCCAATATTTTCAAAATGCCTCAAACCTTAATCTCTCAGGTATAGCAGAGGTGCTGCTCTGAGAAATACATATGGAACAGTCAAAGCAATTGAAACGTAATATCAAAACAGAAAAAGAGTGCTACCGAGCAGAGGAGGTGCGTGCCAAATTTCATCCGTGTGCCAACTGGCAGCTGAGCTGCGACTCCTAGGAACGCCGTGAGATCGCGTGCATCAGGTCGGAATAATAAAATTTCCAAGGGAAGAAGCCCTAACGATAGTGCAGCTTTATTTTAAGCTACCTGCATGCAAAGTCTCCCAAGTACGACTTCCCCTTCTCAAGAAGGCTGCATTCACACGAAGGCAGCGCTTTGTTTGACTCCTCCTGAAAAATCGCACTCGACATCAGAGGGGGCTGCTTGCGGACACCGCGTTTGACATTGGACAAAGTACTCCTTTCCACAACAGACATCTTCCAAAAACGTCACTCGCTAGACTAATGGGCAGCTCGAAGCCAGAACGACTGCCCTCCGTCTTCTCCTTGCGTAACTTTGCCAGAGTCCTTGGAAGTTGCCAAATTCGGTCATGCCTGCTTAGCTCGCTCGACTGATTGTGCCAGAAAAGAAAATAAGACACAGATGTATTTGAGCTCTCGGAGATGCCAGTAAGAGAGACAGCTAATGGCTTCATTTCGACCCTCCCCTACCAGCTGGGCACAGGTGGGGGGATAATGAGGTCCCTCTCCCTAATCAAACTCAATTATTTACTACTCTGTATGGCCACAAAGACATTCACATTCAGCTCGGAATATAAAATGCTCTGTGGGCTACTTCCAACCACCGCCACCGGGTATTTATAACTAACTCCAGTGGCTAAGAGTTTGCCTTGGCAGGAGCTTAAGTGTGTGAAGTTCTGCAAACTGTTTCTGCTCAAACAGGGTGGCCGGCGAGGTTCCGTGACCGTCAGCTCCGCAGTGCGCGACAGCTGAACACGCAGCCAACATGCGGGATGGGTGAGGACTGAAACAAAACACCACGCTCCACCACGGAGCTCCTCAGAAGCACCAACGTTTTTCAACAGTGATTCAGTATTAATAAACATTGCAAGTCACAAGCCTGACACAGCAACAGCTGAAATACTTCAGCATGGGGAGGAAAAAAAGAGATGCAAGATATAAAAACACAATTACACGCACTGGTAGGATGACAGGGAAGGAAGAAGATGTAGAATTTACAACAAATCCCTACAAAAATACGACAGCACGCACATTCAAGCTCACAGCAGTAACAATCTTTGATCAAGTGATAAAGTAATTGTCTGTTCTAGGGGATACATTAAAAATTCTGATTTAAATTTACTTATGAATTACTACTTTCCTGGGAAGTACAAGCAATTTCACATTAACATGTGGACACAGAAAAAGCCCTCTCTCTCAGCAAAACACTTCTTAGGATGCAGTTGTCCTACTTCTCATCAGCAGGACCTCCCACGGCAGAAGGAACGTCCTCACGTGAGCACAAACTGTGTTAAAGCAAGACATTTCATGTTTCTTTTGCAGGATTTGCAGCTGGACCTTAATCCTGCTGCAAGCAGCAGTCGGAGAACTACTGGGCAGGCCAGGGTCCTGCTGAGCTCTCTGGGACCAGTTCCACCTCCTCCGAGCGAACGTCCCAAATCTGAGCCCTTAGGTGTTCACTGCACTGAAACCCTAATCCCTAGTCAGGTACCGAGTACAGGCAAGAGGGGCTGAGGTCGGAGGCAGTTGAGAAAGAAATGGGACTCTTCCAGATGAGAAGTCATCCACAATTTGGATTCTTCTAACAGTACAGACTTCTTAACTGCTCTACCTGCAATAAACACGCCTAATTCCATGCAATCAAAAAGGATTACAATATTCTCTGTATACCTGTGGGGTTTGTCTGGGGGCACTGATCATGCAGGATTAGCTTGAGGAGAAAACAATCATAGAATCATAAAATTAAAAAAATCCGATTCATGGCAACGGCATTGACTCCAGAGGAATGCGTGGAGGTGACAGAGGCATTCCCTCTCAGCTCAAACATGTGGCACGCTTCAGTCAGGTGGAAGGGACTAAATACTCTGCAGATCCACAGATGGAAAAGGCAGTTGCCTGGCTGCAACCTGCACAAACCCAACACGGACCCTGTAGTACGAATGGCAAGGCTGGTTCCCTCCCTCCCTGCACCGACTTCCACACGAGAGCACCCAGCCCAGCCGAAGGTGTTTACCTTCAGTGACTTATCTGTAAATACTCGTGACAGAACATTTTGTTGCCCAGTGAGCTGAGGCAGTGGAATGGCGTGAATGGGCATTGGGGAAATACATGGGGATTCCTGAAAATCCCTTTCAGCTGGATGCATTAGAATGTCTCCAAGAAACACAGCCCACAGTAAAGAGTATAAAACTGTAATTAAACAGCTCAGAAAGTTTTTTAAATGTCTGATTATTCAAAACAGAAGCAGCTTTATGGATACGGAATCAACTAATCCCTTATAAATACACGGACTGTCTGATAGCCAGGAAAGCCCCACTAGCATTTCCACTTCAGGAGATCCAAACATCACGTATTTCTCCCAAGAAGTGGCTTATGCTCCTGGTGTTTTGTTATAGTGTTTAAGGTGCCTGATTTTTCACTCACAAGTGAAGAAAAATCAAAGGGATCAAGTACAGCATCTATCACTCAAATCACTGATAATGACCCAGCAAATTCTTCCTGAGCTACAAACCAGATGGCTTCGAGTTTCAGTGGCGGATGGGCTCTTCCTCTCCAAAATTCTCCTGGACTGCAGAGGGGTATATGCAGTCCTATTCAAACCGGCACGCTCGTTTACTGCTCATTTCTCTCCTCAATCACTGCACTGCTCTTAAGACACGCTGCAACTATTTGTATTGAAAATTACCTGCTTTTCAGGCCACTAACTATTCCTAATATGGAAATTTAGAACTTGGTCTATCAAGCTTTGAAAGTGTACTCAAACACCATTTTTTTCCTGATAAAGTTCAATACATTTCCCCAAAATAATTCAGAGTCACTAGCCAGATCAGTTCTTCATGCCTGTTGGAAAGGGCTCTGGATCTCCAGCACGAATGACTGTATAACTTCAACTCTCTGAGGCTATTGTGTACATTACTTCACTATTCAGAACACATCTGTCATAAATAAGCAGCATGGCTGGGGTAAAATTAGCATTCTGAGCTCAGACTTTGTGCGAATTCCAAATATTTACTAGCAGCGGTGCAACAGTTCAATTCACACTACCCACGTGCAGAAGGGCTCTGGTTCTGCCCCGTAGTTTTAGACTCACAGAGCTGGGCTCACCCAAGCTGCCGCCGGCGGCATTTACCTTCCTACCGGCCTGGTGCCAGGCCCCTGAGCAGGGCACCACCCGCACGGACCCGCCAGTGCGCCTGCAAGCCCCGGACTTCGCTACCCTCAGATGAAGAGCAGGGAAGAAAAACGAGGCGGAGGGGGCAGGGACACCCAGATACTTCCCGGTGAGTGGGAAAGGGAGCACCCATACTCACATGCGAACAAAGAGCGACTGTTTCGCTGCCAGGCCGGGGGAAGAGTACTTTTCAACCAGCGCCAGGGTGCTGAAGCCAAACTTGTGAATGGGCTCGTTGGAGTCCAAGGGTGGGAAATCTGTGTCAACCTCCCCGTCATCCTCCGCAATATGGAGACAGTAGGCACTGACGTTGTCGCTGAAAGAGAGACACAGCAAGTTCATTCAGGAGGGAAGAAGGACATCCGATGCTAAATTTGTAAATGCTGCACAGAATTAACCGGCAGGCACGTCGGTTACAGGGGAAAAAGACACCAAAGAAACGATGGCATGTATGGAACTACAGCCCAACAAAGACCCGACATATCTTGCTGCCATAACCGTGTGGTAATAGAAAAAACCCCAAAACCTCAAAGCAGCGCGGCTTACTTCATCGTCAACTGAACGGCCAGCCAAAGGCCGACAGTGATTAAAATGCACCGAAGTCTATAAAAGTTTCATGACTGCATAAAGCTGGAAGCAATATTTCCCTATTTGTGAAAAGTTATTCGTGTCTATGACCATTCCATCTTAGAATTAAAGACAAACAAGCAGCGCCTATCTGTTTTTTCACAGATGGAGCAACTGTGGAAAAGGTTGCAGAACGTAGGCTTGAAAAGCCAGGAAGGCTCTTGGGCAGGTAAACAGTACCATAAACTGCAGGAAAAGTAAAAAATCCGTTCCACAGAGTAGCAGTGACTAGTAGAAAAGCCAGCTTTTCTAAACATCTAAGAAGTCCAAGCAGTAAACACAGTTAAGAATTAGCAGAGACTAACGAGCAGAACTAAACAACAGCAAGTTTTAAACAGATGTGAAGAATATAGGAAAGAAAAATCTAAGCTTCTTTCTTTCACAAACAAAAGCCCAGAGGGAAATGACTGTCTATATATACACCAAACAGAGCATTCCCCATATTTTCCTAATATTAAAATCCATTTCAATGCTAATACTTAAATGATTGAGTTGAAAACAAGTGTCCTTTCTCACTGTAAAAGTGCCAGCAATCAGCCCTGCCCAGGGCCAGGGTAGAGCTTGCACGCTCACGTGGTAGCGTGTCTCTAAACTCTGCAGTTTACATTTGGAGTTTTAATTGCATGATTGATGCTTAAATTAATGAATTGCAAAGTGTATGCTAATTGTTTAATTGGTCGCTTGATCTATATAGATCATTTTTTGAATTAAATGAGTTGATTTACAAAGTTTATTGATTGGATGTGACAATGAATTATTTCGCTGACTACCTGATTTGCAATTTTCTCAATTAATTCACAAACCTTTGGTTGCAACTGTGCTTTATTGAGAGTGCTCAGTCCAGGGGATCTATATGCACCTTGTCACGACTAAGACATTTATAATTTAAAACAGGTAAGAATGATGCACTGCTAGCAATGTGAGCTGTAAATTTGCTAACAAACAGGTAATCCAGCAAGGTTTGTCACCACGAATTCTGAAAACTCTGCAATACCATTACAGAAAGTTTCATGAGCCTCTAGACTCTCATGAAGAACTGGAACATTGCTGTACAATTAATTTTGAACTTCTTCAAGAGCACTTGAGTAACTTTTAGGGAAACTAGTGACAGGTAGTGCTGGGAACAGGATCCATACAGCTCCAGGCTGTGACAAGCGGGGAAAGTCACGCAGCCAGGCGGTTGTGGTTTGAGCTGGGGCCAGCCTTGTTCGGAACAACCTAACCGAAGGGCTGTGAATACTACAGATACAGCTGATCCTGCTTCCGGAACGGGAAATGCCTGGCATGATTTTTGGGTCCTTCTCTCGTTCCATTTAGGTTTCTGTCAACAGACACCAAGCTCTGCATCTTATTCTGTCCAGCTCAACGTAACTCAAAAGTCACCCTACGCTATGAGAATTTGCAGTCTGAGCATCCTCCCACTGCGGTGGTCTGTGCCTTACGCCCCTGACTCTCTGAGCTACTCAATTCTTCCACGTGCAGCCTGCTGCGCACTTAAAGCTCTGTACAAATAAAGTTAACATTTTCCCTTGTTACTTGATGCGTTTGCGTAGTTCTCATTAAAGCCAGAGGCACATATAGACATTCCAGCAACAGGACACATTCAGCGCGGCCTCAAAGCAAGCCAAGTGCCAAAAAAAGGTGGTGACAACAACTTACATTCCACCAATAATACTGAAAATAGACAACATTGGTTACATTCCCATAAATTAAAGGGGTTACAAATGTCTTCAAACACAGAGTGGGCTCCTCAACATTAACAGATTAAGTCACAACCTGTTGAAAAAACATGTCAAATGGGTAAAAATTCTGCATTTTGAACATCCACCAGGATGAGATCGAAGTCCTGACCTTTAGGCTTCAAATTAGAAGGTGCAAAGCCTTGGGAATCCGTGTTTGCTATGGAGAGAATGTGAAGCTGAATACAACAACTGGCAGATGTAATGGCATTCTTAACTTCTAAAGATAGGACGTTTACTTGGATTTTGCAGCTCACTATTAATTTTTTCCTAGAAAGGGATTTTGTCTATTTTTTGCAGGCAGAATCACTGCAGCATCTGTCAGGGGTTGGCAAGAGAACGGTCCAATGGGTTATGTCCAAAGTTCCTGTGTAAGAGGCCAGGAACGGGGTTGCTAGCACTGTCAGTGGTTCCTCATGTCAACACCCCGAATACAGACAAATATAATACCATTATAATAAAAAAGGCAGCCTAACTGAATGCAAAACATTCTCAAAGCTGTCAACCCGTACTCACTCCTTTCAGACTCTTACACCTACGTTTCAGGAAGAAGAATCGGGCAGTAGTATGTTCTTATCCAAAAGAGAGGGGGTTGTTTTTCCTAATTACAAAGCCTACAACCTCCTCATTATCCTCAAACTGTGTTACTAGTGGGTGTATCTGTCATTCTGCGTGCACTGCGTATCAGATTTAAGCCCTCCCTCTATGTATGTTAGTGCAGTGTCACGCTGATCCCGATTTTTTTATTTTTATACTCTAAACTGACTAAATGAGGAGCAAACAGCAAATGCAGCATGTGAACGTACACCAGCTCTTTCCTTGTTTGGGGACAATGAGAACTAGCCTGCAGTTAAATCTCTCCTTGCTACAGGACAGGCAGACAGCAGTGCGAAAGAGAGATGATGGAGACATGAGAAATAATTAACACAAGAAATCAAACTCCTTGCCATCTTGAGGTCCTGCCCCTTGGAGCATTTGTACCCAGACTCTCAACGGTGGCTGCTGACTGCCCTCGGGAGCTCATGCCACCGTTATGTATCTCATTACTTCTGTCCGGAGATCCGATGACATCAGCCAGCCTCCTTGGTGACCATCTCTGTCACATCGTAGCATCCTGTCCCTCACAGGAGAGAGGGAATTCATTTCCTCCCACTGCTGACTTGCCAATGGTGTTTCATGGAATATCCCTACTCACGGGCGTTGTTCCATTTGAGGCGGGCTGCGCGCCGGAAAGATACACGTGTCCAAAGACAGACGTTAGCAGTGCCCTACTCGTTAAACAATAAGTTCATCATACACAAAGGGCACTTTTTTGAACTTATGCTATAACGAGCAGAAATTAAAAGCAAATGAAATGGCACCATCTGCAAATAATTTTCTATTTCTTCTCTAGTGTAAAAAACTGATGAATCAAACCGAATGTTTAACCTCTAAAACATCTCGTATGTTTGCTGAGAAGAGCTGAGGGAAATCCAAGGCAACAGCACCCAGGAAACCGCTTTCAAGAGGGGCTGCTCTGCTGGGTTGCCCTGTATCGACTAAACAAACCAGCTGCCCCTGAAGCAGGGCAGCACCTCCTTACACCCCCTTACAACTGTGCTACCACAGGGGAGAAACAACCGAGCCCTCAGACACTGCTGAAAAATGCTGACAGAGCAAACTGGAAAATTCAGTACCAAAAAACCCCATTCATCAAATATTCCAGGAACAATAACAAAGTGAAAATTGGCTCCTATAGAAAAAACCAAACCAAACTGTTAACCTCCTTTGCACCAGAGAAGTCACCCGCTCGTATCTGTCACTAACAACTCTGTAATAGACTATTCTAAGTTCTTATTTCATGTTCTATGACCCAGCAAGAACAGAAGGACTTTACACAACTGTTTTCAAACCAAAGTTGCTCAGATGAGTGGCTCCAAAGTGCCCGTTTTATGTCCCTTATGTCACCCACCGTGACAAGGCAACGGCTCTCCCTGAACAACACCAGTTCTCCCGCACAGCAAATCCAACCCACTGTTCACCTTGGGGGCAGAACTCTTTCACAATGGAGACGTAAGCAAGGACCAAAGGGACTGCAAAGCCCGCTGATGAACTGAAGCTCAAATTTCTGAGGACAGCACAGATGCTGCTCTTCACAGATTCACAGAGCGGAAGGGACCTCTAGAGACCATCTAGTCCAACACCCCCTGCCAGAGCAGGATACCCTAGGGCAGATCACACAGGAACAAGTGCAGGGACTTTGGAAAGTCTCCAGGGAAGGAGACTCCCCCCCCCTCTGGGCAGCCTGTTCAGGGCTCTGTCACCCTCACAGGGAAGAAGGGTTTCCTCATGGTCAGGCTGAACCTTCTGTTTTCCACTTTATGGCCATTTACAGCAAAGAGCCAATGTGACTGAGGTCAAAGTCTTGTAGAAATTATAAAATCTGCATGACAGAGGTTTTTGAATTAAAGAATGCAATTTTAGTCACAATTCCAAAGAAAACTGGTATGTATTTTCAGGATCCTTATTTGCATAGCTTTACTTTAGTGCTATCTCCAGGACAATAACCTGGAAAGAAAAGCACCTTTAACCCCTACACCTGAAAATCCTTAGAAAAAGAGAAATATTTTAACACATGCATAATGAATTAAAGTCATTATGTCGGCAAAAGGAGAGCAGAAAGCAAGGAAGTGACAATGCTGAGGTCCTGCGACAGAATTCTGACTTGGTTTTGGGCATACTCACTACGGCTCAAACCTATTCTGTGGTTCCAGGAGAAAACTAAGAGCACTTCCGAGGCACAGTCACCCAGTGCAGCGATTCCTCTCTCAGTCTGTAGGAGGAACCGGTACTGGGCTGAGAACAGGGTCAGGATCCGGGCACCTTCTCTCGGAACAAACAAGAGAGGGACTTACAGGCAAGTTCTGGGTTTTATTTGACGTCCTTGTGAGCTTTGCCATGAAGAGCACCCCCAAAAATAGATGGGACAGAAAATGAAAGGTGTCTCTGTGACACCAAAGAGGTAGGACTGATACTATTTTTACATAGAGCGTTTTGAAATGATGATTCATTTACAGATCCCTGGTTTCATCTGCTTATCATTATACAGTACCCAGTGGTTTAATTGAAAGGGAAGTGGGTGTGGATGCACGTGTACTGCTCAAAAGGAAACTCTGATAAATGTGTAGGTGGCTTCTCCACGATTTATCTATAAAAACATTGACACGGAAATCCATTTCATTATGCAAAAAGGCTGCAGAGGAGAAAATTAGAGATCAAGAGGTAGTAAAGAAAGACCATTACTTCAGCTTGGGTTCCCGTCCCTCACTTGTATATTGCCAGCATATTAGTCCAATCAGGTCATGCACCTTGGCATTTGCTATCGTCACAACTGTCATGGGCTGCAGTTTGTCTTGGCTTGTGTGCAGTGGGAGGTAGACATCAATTTTTTTGGTTGCCGTTGTACCAACATGACCCTGTCGAGAAAATATATTTCATTAGAATGTATAAGAGCAAAAGTGTGACAGAGCTAATACAAAATGTGTACAGATGGGATTCTCAGTCGAAAGATTAAAATACATGGCTACGACGTAAAATTGGAAGAAGCTTGAACGTTTAAGTTCCAATCCTTTCCCTGTGTTTAATGAATCTGTAAAAATGATTGGAAATATTTGGCAACGATTTCACAGATTTCCAGTCTGAACCTGACTGCAAGATCCCATGTGCTTGCAGGATTTAAAGAAAGGAAGGGTAGGGGGGGAGAGAACTGACAGACTACCTTAAACTCGAAAGCCGTTTTTCCATCAGCATTTCAAACTAGCATTCCCCTTGTTTCTACATTTCTGCGTTTTTCTGCAGTTCTCTCTTGGAAACGCCGACCGCCCACCTGCGCAGAGCTACCGACTTACCGTGCCTTATTCCCACCGCCAGCCCTCCCGCGCTGGGGGCACGGGCGAGCATCCTCTGCGGCAGTGCCAAAGCAGCCTGGCTCATCCCTAGTTACCCTGACCTGGAACACGCCAGGACTGCCAAAGCTGCTTACCTGTCCGTGTCCTAGATCCCCCCCGGCTTTAGTCCGGTTCTCCTCCCACCCTCCCCTTCGCCTTCCTCCCTGCTGCTGTACCGAAGGGAGCCGGAGGAGCTCACACCTGGATGCACGATGGGATGAAAGCAGGGAATTCCCAGCACAGGGAAGAGGGGAGACTGGGGCCTGGCCAGCACATTCCCAAGAAAGGTGAGAAAGGAGTTGCCTACCACAGCTGGTGGGTCTGCCCACACACATCAGCAAGACCCAAACTTGAGTCTTACAGACACCAACCATTCAGGAACCGGTACCAAGCGCCGAGCTTAGGTCAGTCAGACAGACACCTCAGGCTGCCCATTCCCAGGAAACCAGACCGGGTGACACAACCTGAGCTGAGAACTGTGGCAAAAATAACATCGATGTGAGGGGGAGGTTAAGACAACATCTGAAAATAAACCTCAGGCTTGACGTTGGTGTGCGAAGGACAAAATCAGACATACAGCTGAGCCATTAAGTATTCTGAACTATTTGGAGACATCAGGAAGGATTAACTAATATTGGTGTTTATTGGAATTTACTGTAGTAAAAAACCCCATCTATTTGGCACTGCGGAGACGAACAATCAAATAAAGCATAAAATACACAGCAACATGTAAAGTTTGCATTGCAAGAAAAAATGTTTAATCCGGTGCGGCTGGGGCTGCATTTTAAACCAGGAATCTTCTAAACAGACAAAAGGGTTGTACATCCCAATCCCCTCGTCAAAAGCACCCCGTGCAACTATATGTCTCTATCTCTGTACGGATACGTCTCTTGAGAGAAGAAAGTATTACTCAAATTAATCACTCGGAATTCTGAGTAACAGAATAAAAGGATTCAATACGATAAATCTATGACGAGAGCATAAAACAGGGAGTTAAATGCCATGTGCTAATTTCAATATATTGTTAAAAACCATTTGATCCTTCGGTGTGATTATAAATTAGAGAAATAATAGGAATTTAAAGATTCAAGTTATTCATACCAGCATAGCTAAAAGTATTATTAAAATCAGTCCAAATATAATGGATTTGTTTTTTAAGAAAGCATTTTTACACTGCAGACACCTCTTCTTCCCATGTTTTAAGGTAAGAACAACTCTGTTTTACTCATTTAAAAGGAAATGTTCACGTAACAGAATATGGGACATTCCATCAGCTTGTTTGGATAAGCCTCTGGATGAGTGAGCGAGCTGCTGTGCCTGGGATGCTCCGCCCAAACCCCGACCTTACCTCTCCACGAAAACATTAGCACGACAGAACCGCAGCTGCCAAAAACATAAGGTGTTGGTTCATTTTCTTTCCTTCTCCTCTTGCTTTCCTACTTACAGGACTTAGACCTGAGGGGAACCGAGTTGGTAACAGGAAAGGAATCACCAGTCTCAGAGTCCATCCCTGTCCCTGTCCAGGCGCAAACACCAACCAGGGGAACGTACGGACCTGCACAGGGCGGGGAGCATCGCCCACATCACGGTCATGGCCAGAGACCACAGACCTGTTGTTTCAACCGCATTTCCATCTGAATGAGTAAATAGCAGTTAGCAAGGAAATTAATGTGACTCCTCGGCATGCAGTGAGCTACATATTTAAATCTAAGGATGGCAGAATCCTAAGTAATGCTTAGCCCTGATAATGGAAAATCCAAGAAAAATTGACCACCAGATGTGAGAGCCGATGCCAGGGTTACAACCGACACAGCACAACGCCAGGGATCGGGGACACGTGCCAAGAACTGTAACTCATGACCAAAAAGACCAGATTATTCTATCAGTCACTGCTACACGTAGAGTGTTTTATAAGCTCATCATCCAACACACACATGTACGTATGAAATAAACACATCCCAGGGACACAGCTGCCTCAAGTTGGACAGTAGCTTCCCGCGTACTACCCGTCACCGTGCTGCTCCCCGTTCTCGGCCCCGCACTCCGCTCTTGCTTGGTGCTTACTGTTTGCTTACGTAAACTTGTCTTTGCTCTTCCCCATCTCTAAACCTCCTCTACCTCCTCCGGGCTGTTTTTACCGTCTTGCTGGCCCAAACTCCCTCCACTACTGATATCCCTGTCCTTGTACTCACAAATGTCAGGACACTTAAACCAGGGGTAATTCATACACATCTGAGGATTCCAACTGCTCTTTGAGCACGGGGTGCAATACCGACAGCAGCAGTTCTGGGAAACAGCTCAAAAGCACTGCTATCCCACTCAAGATCTTTTAAAAAAAGTGAGTGGAATGTTTTTATTCATGAGAAGTGCTGTAAAACTGACTGCCATAATGTGTTAGAGAGGCTGAAACCTGAGATTTGGAAGCTGATTCGGCTTTGTATTAGCAATGAGAAGAACAAAACACTGCTCTGGCCTATAAACACAGGGGTCAAGGCTCAGACTGACCGCTCACCAAGCCAAAGGGGTCGGGAAGAAATCTCCACTGTGTTTACCACAAATTGATATTTGTTGTGAACCAGCATTAGAAATCCAAAACATCACGTACCCGTCTACAGGATGGGGTGAATCCATATTCTTTGATCCTGCAAAATATTAATTGTGTAGAAAGTCCCACAGAGCTCAATTACCTCCCTGTGCAAAGCTTCGGAGGGAAGGAGTTGGAGGTGGTGGGACTGAGTAAAAGGATCCAATCTTCAGTCTCAGGGGTCAAGAGCCACAGACCCAGCCAGGCTGGATTTAACTAGGAATAACGTGTGGGTTTGCATGGTGCCTGCAGTCACTTCTCCAGGAGGAATCATTCAGAGCCAGACTGCAGATACTACTGGAAGCATAATTCCTTTTTTCTCCCAGCCAAAAACCATATTCCAACTGTAAATGCTGAGGAGACCCAGAAGATAAAGTACAATTACCTATATTCAAAAAGGCAGCATCAAACTTTATTAATAGATCCTGTATAAAATTCAATGGAAAATCTATTCAGGGCCAGGGGCCTTACCATTTGGAGTTTCCTTAATAGCCTCCAATAAATCTGGGAAGCATAAAGGGGCTGTTAAATTAACATTTTCCTGATCTGTCACCTGTGGCATAGTTAATTTGTCAAAAAATTCTTTTAGCTTGTCACTGGACACTGTATATTCTGACAAATGAAGTCTGGAATAAAATTGACAAAATATCTCGTTTGTTTTCTAGGAAATCACAAATCTGATTCCATTAAGCTTTTATTGTTGGAAACGTTATATTCCACCCATCCTTTTAGGGTATGAGGAGTAACTGGATAAATGGAAAACATACAATGAATCACAGAAAATTTTCTAGGTATTTTTATTAACGGGCTCTCTTAAGGCTGCCTAGTGCTCCCCTACAGCCTCATCGTCGAATATTTCCGTTCGCCTCTTCCGTAGCATTTGCATCCCCCTCCAAGCAAAGATGTTTCACCACGGGCAATTCACTGGAGGAGACACTGTGCAGTGTACACAGGCTTGAAGAGCCAAAACCCAAGGACTTCCCAAACTCCTGCTAATGTGGCATGCAAATAAACAAAATACTTGCTTTCTTTACACTTCTGTGCTCTCTCTGCCATCAGAATTCTTGGTGGTTGGCACACCACAGGTCCTCTTTCCTGTGGCTATTCAAGAGCTGCACAGAGTTAGGTGTTATTTGACATTCCCAAAAAGGCCAGTCTGCCGAATTCACAGATTTTCTGCTTTCCACTTCCTACAATTTCAATTAAGCAGATCCCTGTCTATTTCTGCCCTTGGATAATAAGCAGCAGCTCAGCTTAGGGAAGTTCTTCCCATTAATAAACAAATTTCTTCCGAAAGAACAAGTTGGTGTCTAAGACTCCTGCTCCTGAGAATCTGCATCTCTCGTGCTGGCTATGAAAGAGCCACCAAAGAGTACAGAGAGATCTGAGGATGTGTAACGACAGTAGTCAGGCTACTTACAAGAACACAGTAGCCCCAACAGCATGTACATGTGTGGCTGGTTCTTCTAGACACGGGAGTTAGAGTGAAGGATATGACAGGCAACTCCAATGATGAATTTTCATGGATTTCCTAGGATTGTATTTGCAAGCTGTGCTGTTTAATCCTATAAATGCTGGTTACCACAATTATGACAGGAAAGCTGCATGTAGAATGATTGTCATTGGCTACATATAATTTTAGAAATATCCGTATCATTAAATAATTTTCTGTAATGAAATGAATATGCTTTAAATACAAACGCAGCATGTTAAATTCAAACAGAAAAAACTCATATTGAAACTCTATCGATTCTTTCAATGTAAGAAGCATTTCTAAGATTTAAAATCAACTTTTGACCATGAGAAAATATGTATGTCCCTCCAATGCCAATGCCGAACGTCTGGAATGGATTACTGCGGGGCCACTAACGGAAGGTTGGTGCAGTTGTGTCCATCCCCAGACAACTTGCTCCCAAAACCAGGGCTCGAGTACCCGCATAACGGG